TTAAAAGAGACTTTTAAATTTTCTACATAATTTTTAGCGCGTTTTTAAATGTGATGATATCTTATAAGCGGTTTTGTCTGGCAATTGCAAGATACACTAATGTGTGACGACAAAACCGCGCTAATCAAAGCTTTACTCAGGTAACTCATATTACAATTAAATTACAACTAAATATAACTAGTTTAAATTTTTTTAACTTTTTATATTTGTTTGATTAATTTTATAAGAAAAAATGTTACTTAAACACATCTAAAAGATAGTTTTTGATCATTTAAAAGTAACATTTGCACTAGGAAGCGTTTGAAAAGATAAAAATTATCTACGTAATTTCTATGGTTGCCCGTTAACATTACTAAACAGACGCTATTTTATCTGTTAGCAGTGCACATAAGAAGAAGGCCCATAGGGCAATAAAGAAAAAAACAATAAAGAAATTGATGTTTAAAATATTGTTGGTAAATGCCAGAAACTACATATCTTTTCAAGTTTCAACTTTTGCTGGTAATAGTGTTTTTCATCAGTGCGCTGGCAATGCTTCCACATCATCAAGTATGCTGTCATCTCAATTTCAGGTTGCCGTCAATCTCTTAGAGTTTTCTGATGCTGACAAATACCATCTCGACAACGTTTTCCACTCAGGCTTAGGTCTGTCAATCCGAAACAGATAATCAAGTTTTTGCACACAGTACTGAGTATCCTTTCGATTGGACTGTCTCCTATGAGCTACGACAACATTTTGTGCAGCGTCTACCAGTTGAAACCATTAATGATTCTAACTTTTCACTTTATCAGGGTCTGTTTAAATGTATAGTGATCATCAACGCTATTGTTCCAAAAAAATGTTTTACCGCATATTACCAAACGAGTGAGAAAAACGGGATTGGCCGAAGTACTCCAAATCTGCGGCTTCTCTTTTTTGTTATATCTATCAAATGTTTTGGAAGTGTTGAATACCAAACATTTATGCTAGCATACATAAACAGAACTCGAATGCTCGGAGCAAATGACTCACAACAACATGAAACAAATGTCAATATTGGAGGATTCCACTGTGTACTTGCACAGCTTTTTTGAGTTTGGGTTGCTAAAAAATGGCACTGTCAGTAGACATCGTGAACAATTGTGGATTAATTTGAGCGGGCGCTGCGATGGTTCCTTAGAATTTCATAATAATTTGGTATGAAGAACTTTTTAATTTCAAACAAAGAAGGCTCTAACATTTTGTGCTCATTAGATGAGTTTATAACTCTATTGAAAGTTAGTGTGGGTATCCATCATTAATGATGTTATCATGATGCATTAAAATTCTTTTTTCTCTATTTCACTGGTTTCATTTGTGCCGGCATCGTTTTTAAACAATAATCATCTTTTTTAATAAAAAAAACTAATTTTCATAAGATGTTTAAATATACATGGAGCGTAATGGCTTATTAAATAAAAAAAGTTTATCCAAATTTTGTAATGATGTATAGAAAAGCTGAACATTTGTATTTGTTGAAGCGTTAGTCTTACCGAAAAATGCAATGAAAACTGTTCGTGTCCCTTGGATTCATTTGATCCCGTATGTGGCAGTGACAATGTCTGGTATATATCTCCGTGCCATGCCGGATGCACGAACTACGCAAACAACGGATCATCGGTTAGCATGTTTATCCATTTGTTTTTAATTAATATATAAATAAATGAATACGAAATAATAATTTTCTGATCTAATTATAAATGATGAAACAATAGATATACAGTAATTGTTCGTGTGTAAGCAATGAACCACATACAGCTGAAACTGGATATTGTAACAACTCCTGCAATCTCATTCTCATCTTGTATTCTATCGGTTTGGTTTGCTTTTTTGCCGTCAATAACATATACTCTGTTACCTTCACAAACATAGTTCTCAAGTAAGTCATTAGATTTAATGTTAATCTTTTCCAATAATAAAATTTGTTATATTTGAATATTTTCTTGATCTTAACAATGTTGATTTATTAAATTTTCTCAATAAAAGTTACAAGGCTTAACCTGTAGTTTTTTTTGGATAGCACTGAAATTCTGTGGATTTTGGGAATAATTTTTAGTTAGTTTGAACCTTTTTGCAGAGACGCACGCAACAAGCGTTTTTAATGATTTATTGTCGGATAATGAGCCGATTGATTTTGGCGGCCCACAAGAAATCGTAGTTTCTACCCTTATTATTTGTTATATAGATGGCTGTTTGTGAGCACAACTCTATTTAGCATAGAATTCGCTGGTGATATCCAACTACATAATTCATATCCTTACTTCATAAACTTGTCTGTTTTTTCCATGCTAATTTCTAAATGTCATGGATTCAACAGAAGTTGAGTCAATGCAAACATAGATTTCAGCTATTGCTAACGGCTCAAAATTATTAACAGAGTTTAGTTTAAGATTGCTGTTCCGATGTTCAAACGTAACAGTATGACTCATTCATGTTTGATCAAATAGTGTAAAATGATGTACCCGCGTGGGTACATACGCTCCATGAAAAATGATTATTTATTAGTTCCCATACAAAGTTAACAGCTGGATTGAAAAATTTTCATGCAACCATTTTGAAACAGTCCACTGTCGCAACTACAAATGCCGTGTTGCTCTTTATTACGTGTGTGAAAATCGAAAATTTTATTTGTTTACGTGTACAAATGCTTCAATAGCTATTTTGTTCATGTTTGTCTCTTCTTTATAAGCAGTGTTTTTTGGACGAAGGCTATTAAAAAAGCGCCCTAGAAGTTTTTTTTAGTAACAGGTGCGTGGATGGCATTAGGAGTCCAGCTGATTTTAATTTGTTTAGCAAGTCAGTGACAGTTCATTCCTAAATCTCCTTATATTCAACTAAAATTATTAAAACATTTGTTTACTATTTTGTTCAAAATATATAATGTTGCATTTAATATTTTGGTATGACGGTTTAAACCTGTAAAACTTATAAAATCTCAACTGAGGTCATTTTAAAACACATCCATGCTTGTCCAAAACACAGAATTTAATTTTAAAATAAAATTTGTTTCAGTCACTCCTTCTCCGTTGTTAGATTCAACTGATAGATTGGGCATGCATCTTGTGGCAAACATCATCGTGCAGTGACGCCGTTGGTTCCTGCTTGGCGTACGACAACTCAAAATACAGACTGGGTATGCACGGAATCACAATGCTTTGGAGAATACTTGCAGCCATATTTTATTCCGCAAGTTTCTATATCTCGTGGAGAAAATGTGAAAGACTGAAAACTGAAAATAATGTAAAGGTTGCTTCACCAGAAAACCACATTGATTTTCCAGTTGAGACCTGAATGCATGTGTTTTTCATCTTGTAAGTGGTGTGAAATTTGAATAAGTATGTAATTTAAGTAGTGTAAAACCTGGAATAAGTATGCAATGTAAGTAGTGTAAAATTTGAATAAGTGTAATGTGAGTAACAATGTAACAAACTGACGATTCATCCGGTAAGGAAAACTTGAATAACGATGTAACAAAATCTTGAAGAATCGTTAAATCAGATAAACACATTTATATTGAAGTCATTTTACTTACCAATTAGAAAAATGTTTAAATTTGATGGTTTGAGAGTTTCCACGTAAAACAATCATCACAATTATCCGATAATGAACAAAAATTTGGCAAAATAATGTCTTTGTTTTTTTTAAGTTGTTTTATCACAACACACACCAACACACACCACGCCTTTTTTTCTCTCTCTCCTTTTCCCCCCTCTCTCTCTCTCTCACTTCCTCATATTAGCAATGTGACTCAGACAGTTCTTGTTCTTGACCAAAATTTTTTAAATATGCTGTATTTACATTTAAGCAGTGGGATTGGATTTTTCTATTATAAATTGCATTTTCATGTAACTAAATTTAATTTAACCACATATTACCAACTTTATTTTATTTAAATTACATTATATATTTCAATGGACAACGTTTACTCAATGGTTTTTCTCCTTACATTTAATTTTATTAGAACATTTTTTACTATGTTCCAATTTAACAACATCAAATAACGGTTGAAATAATATTTTCTTTTTTTCTTTTCCTTTTATCAGTTTCATTTGGTCCAACTTAATGCTCTAGTAAATTCAAAATGGGTCTTGTAGGCACCCAAAAAAAAGCTGTTAGAGGTCATTAAATTTGATTGATACTCACTTGGATGGCAGGCTTACGTAATAATTGTTCATCGTTGAGTATTTAAAAATACTACTCAATAATTTAGAAAAGAAACTAACTGAACTTTCTCAGAAGCAAACAATAGACGGCTACGATGGTTCCTTAAGTGATTACACAAAATTATTGTTAAAATTCTTGTGTCTCCTTTTCAAGTTTGACTGCAATTATAACATAAATTGCAAAAATTGTATCTTGTAGCAATTTTAAAATTAAGAAATTCAAATGTTGAGGTTCCGTGGTACGATGGCGCATGCTTGCTGTACGCGGTTGTTTCATTTTAGATTTGAAACAGATTTATCGTGTTAAAATGTTAATACGTTGTGCGTGTCTGCATTTGCATTTTATTTTTTAGGATGCACGAAACCATCACGACGTTTTCCTTATTTAAATCATTTTGTCAAACGTTGCAGTTAAATAATTTGTATTGATCAAAATTTTTAAAAGACCATGAAAGTCTGTTCCCGTTTTCAACTTGAATATTTCAAATTTTGCAATAATATAACTTTATTAACTTTAAGTCGATGTATAAAAAACAGCACACCAATAAATTTTGACTACCCTGTTTTATGACGTAATTGTTCTATTAAAACTTTGTTAAATAAAACAGTTGACACGTCAAAACAAGATCTTGTGATTGGGGTGTTGCTCGCGTGCACCTTGATACCGAAGCACAAATTTTTCTGTTTTTATTTCTTCAGACAACCCGGCAATAACAATATTGAAAACTAATAAATCATTTGACGACAAATTTTTTCTACGAAATAATAAGAGCAAACTTCAAATTTAGTTGATTTTTTGCAAAGTTAAATTTGTTAAAATGGATGGCGTTCAAAATGCTGAACATGTAGCGTCGCGGTCTGCTGGTGGAAGAATTGTCGTCATCTTAACAAGCCTCCGAAAGAATATATGGAGTTTTATAGTTTTCTACTTGATCTTCAGCTTCACTCATGGCATACATGGAAGTTATACGGCGTCCATTCTGGCGACACTGGAAAAAAATTTTAACCTGCCAAGTTCACTGAGCAGCATTGTCGTAACTATAGCCTGTCTTGGTTACATGAGCAGCGCCATTTCCGTATCGTTTTTTATAACACCCAACTATCACGTTCGTTTATTTGCAATTTGCATGCTAGTAACTGGATGCTGTGGTTTTCTATACTCACTGACTCATTTTATTTTTAAAGAAAATGTAAACTACGATGCAATTGGCATGATTCAAAATATTGAACGTAATGTTTCGATTCATAAAACCGTTCTATGCAACGTATCACTGAACCCTGATGAAGGTGTTACAAGTATTTGTGAAGTTGATAGCAAAAATAAAATGGATGTCAGTCCGAACTACGTGGCTCTCGTGATGTTCATCGTGGCTGAAGTGTTTCATGGCGCAGCTGGAGCATGCTTGTGGACCGTTGGATTTTCTTTCATCGATGACAACCTGCCTGTCAACACTGCTTCCAAGATAATGGGTTGAAATTAAATTTTATTTCTTATTTAATCAAAAGCAAATTTCAAGCAAGATGTCATTTATGTGCAGTTGTTGAATTTATTTAGGTATTATGTTCTCTGTGCGGTTCCTATCTCCTGTCATTTCTTCCGCCATAGGCAGTTTGTTTTTGTCTCTGCACACCAGTCTGACAAGTATGTATTTTATTACAGCTCACTCTGTCAGCATCTAATGTATTTTAAAAATATTGTGCTCACACATTCAACAGAAACTTCATTAACACCAAGACATCCGAGATGGATAGGAGCATGGTGGCTCGGCTACGTTGTTTCTTTCATCATAAATATTTTCATATCCATTCCTACATTTTTTTTACCAAAAAAATTTGACAACGCCAAAGTTCACGAATTTCAATTAGCGGGAGATGGAAGTGAAAATGAAAGTAAATCCAAACCCAATAACACCGCAGTCAAAATGTACCGCGACAAAAATATTAAAAGTTTGGTTTATCTAATTTTCTTACAAGAAATAGTAAATAAGTAATTAGATTTTTTTATTCAGATTTTGTCGTTGCCTTGGTTAGGTTAATTCGCAATCCGATTTTTGTATTCGCAATGGTAGGAGTTTGCTTTGACTGTTACGTTCTGGCATTTTATGCCTACCTGCCGAAGTATGTGGAGGTGTATTTTCAGATGACTGCCTGGATGGCAAGTGTTATAGGAAGTTAATAAATTTTTATATCTACCATATATTACATTTAATAAAATATTCCTTCTAAATAAAAATGTGATAAAAGTGCTGATCAAAATAAAACTATTCATAATCGCAGTGATGGTTCCTTCTGCGGCTAGCGGGTTAACGTCGTACGTTGGAGGAGTTGTAAGCGGAAAACTGAAGCCTTCCTTAGATTTCGCGGTTACCAAAAATATGATGATTACAAGTGTTGGATCTATCGTTAATATATTTGTACTGCTAGCCATCATGTTCATTCAGTGCCCTGCCAACAATTTTCCACATGGATATTCGGAATCAACAAAAAGGTTCTTCAACTATTTTATTTGGCGAAGTAGTTTTAATGGCAACATTTACTATGAAAATAATCACCAAAAAATATAAATATCTGAATTAAAAATTATTTAATTATTTCGTTTTTACACAAAAACTAATACTCTGAAATAAATTAATTAAATCTCTATCGTTAAAGTAATAAAAGTTAGCTGTGTTAGAAATTAAGAAGGCTGAGTGCTTTCGCTGGAAAACGAAGATAAAAATCCTTCGTGCTTTTACTTTTAACAAAGTTTGGCTTTGTAAAAAAATCGATAAGCAATAAAATTTAGTTCATTATGAAACTTAACGGAAAGATCGCCCATTTTTTTTAATAATCGATCAATATATTCTTTTTTGTTTTGAATTTTTATGAAAATTGAAAATAATTTAATTATTTTAAAATGTTTAGCTGTCACAAACCTGTCTGAAAAATATCGTACATGATAATTTTTCCAGTGTTAATCTCACTTCAGCCTGCAACAAAAACTGTTCGTGTTTGGTTGATTCATTTGATCCGGTTTGTGGCGTCGACAACGTGTGGTATCTCTCCCCGTGCCACGCTGGATGTTCTGCACATTTCAGTAATAGTAATGGATCAATGGTTGTTTGATATTTTTGAAAAATGTTTGTGAATTTAAAATTTGTGTTGAGTGTGAACAGAGATGAAATCGTCTGAATTCGAACAGATGTTCAGCAACTGTTCTTGTATAAACGGCGAGCAACAAACTGCAGAAGCAGGATATTGTGACAATTCTTGTACCTTTTTTCTTATTCTATATATAATTGGTTTGACGTTATTTTGTTCAGTCAGCAATTTGTACAATGTGCCCATCACCAATGTAATTCTCAAGTGAGTTTCCATTCAAATTTGTAATATTTTTTTAAGATATCAACTTTTATAACAGATGCGTGGATGAAGAAGATAAATCCTTAGCGTTAGGCATACAGCTGATTCTAATTTGCTTAGCAAGTAAGATCGCAAACTAAATCGAAAATTTTACTAACAATGTTTAATACATACATATTCACTAGTTATTACTTAACTACAAATCAATTCCCGTACTAAGTTTATCCAATGTAATAATGACATGCTTGCTTAAAGTAATTTTCATGGCTTAAAATAATTTTTATTCCAGTGCTTCCTTCTCCGTTGATATATGGACAGCTGATCGATTGGACCTGCATTTTGTGGAAGACATCTTCATGCAGTGACGCAAGGGGTTCCTGCTTGGCATACGACAACTCCATGCTCAGGCTGGTCATGCATGGAAACACTCTCTTCTGGCGCTTCATGGCAGCAGTCTTTTATACCATAAGTTTTTTACTTTCTTGGAGAAAATTTAAAAAATTGGAACTGAAAAATGTCGATAATTCTAACGACACTAAAGGAAAACATGTTAAAAATTAATATCAAGGTCATTCGTAATTATTTTTAAACATTATCGTTTTATCGATTTCATTTCTGTTATTTATGATATTTTTACATTTGTTTTAAAAATTTTAAGTTGATTTTCTACAAGATTCTGCTTAGATTTAATACATAATGCTTTTTTTTGAATACACAATTTTTTTATCCTTATTTGAAGTGTGACCAAAAAAGATAAACTCGTAGATAGCCACCCTTAACTAAAAAAAAAATCCAACTATAAATGTAACAGAAATGTCAAATAAAAACATATACTCACGCTCACACACACTTACAAATATGCACCATACTATAATTCATATCATAATACTGTTATATTTTCAAAAGGTAACAATATAGGGTAATCACAACTGAGACTGAAAATTCACTCACAAAAAACACACATAGTGTAAAATTATTAAAATTAAGTGATTTTTCTAATTAAAAATGTTTTTTATAACTTGTATTTAAATAAGTATAATGAGTTTATCGCTTTTATTTCGTTTAGCAATACAGTATTCCATACAAATACAAAAATTGATGTGAAGTAGATGTGCAATTTTTTAATTGGTAAAATGGTGAGTGACGAATGATAAGCATTGGTTATGTGAGTACGCAGTGGAAATGTAAATATTAGTCTTATAAACCGGTTTTGACATTTTTGAAGATAATTTAGATGGTTTTCTGGACTTCCGCCCCATAAAAGATTGCAATAAATTGAATGTGGATACATCAGGGTATAGTAAAGTTCAATCATGATGTCGTAGTTCATTTTTGATTTAATTTTATATAAAATACCTAACATTTTATTGATCTTGTTGAAATTGATTTTATATGTGGTTCCCATGAAAGATTATCATCTAGGTAAAGCCAAAGTGTTAATTCTTATATCAAGGTTGCTTATTGTGTTGGTAATTATTGTGGGGCCGAATAATACATATGAACATTTTGTTAAATTAATTGCCAATTTATGGTGAGTAAACCAATCTACGAATTTTTGTAATTCTTGGTTTATGCGGTCACTATTCATAGTAAAAATCTTTGAAGTAAAAAATATGCTAGTATCGTCCGCATATAATAACATATTTGCCGAATCAGTCGCATTGACAATATAATCAATATACAAGACAAACAAAATTGGTCCGAAAATTGAACCCTGTAGAACCCCACTGTTAATGTTCAAACATTTTGATTTGAATCCTTCTAACGCAGCATATTGCTTTCTATCCCTGAAATAGCTTTCACACCACGAGTAGGCTACACCTCTTATCCCGTACATATATAATTTTTTCAAGAGTAAATTGTGGTTTATGACGTCAAATCTTTTTGACAAATCTATAAAATTTCCTAAAGTGAGATTTCTATCGTCTAAAGTCTTGAAGACTTTATGAATCAATTCAAGCACAGCTAATTCGGTCGAATGCTTAGGCCTATACCCATATTGACAATTACATATTACATTATTTGCAGTTACAAACGATTGTAAACGAGTATGCATTATTCTTTCAAGTATCTTCAAAAGGGGTGAAAGAAGAGAAATTGGCCGGTAATTGCAAGTATCCTCTGGGTCGCCTTTTTCCTCGTAGTTATATCAATTTGGTAGGTTATTTAGTACCAGCATTTAATGTTAAAAAGAAACTTAACAAACTTGCATTAAATTAGAAAATGTTTTATTATGTAAAATGTTTTTCATTCAAACTGCAGTCCCAGTGATAGTAAGCTTGTTGTTGAGCGTTGTATTTGACATCCCAAATTCGTTCTTCACTGAACGAACGACAACTATTTAATAACGTCTCTATAGGGGGAACACCAACTATTAAATGTATCTGGGAATTTGGACAGGAAACGTGAATTACGCAAAAAATTAAGAGGGAATAGATAACAAATCCCAATTCCTGCACACCTCTACTCAGCGTTTCACATAGGTACAGCTTATATAAGTTTCTAAACCATTGGCTTTAAAAAAAGGTAGTGCTGTTGCCCTGTGAGCTATAATGCTGTACATATAATAAATATACCTGTGCTATATAATGGTGGTGGTGATGTTGATGATAATGGTGGTATGCATAAATATTCTTAAGTGTTGGTATTTATTACTTATTTAGTTAATTTACAAAATTTTTTTTTCAAGTGATTATAAAAAGAACACAAAACAAGGCAACTTTCTCTTAAGCTGTTTATTATTGGCGGTAGTTTACAATGTTCAATGTTTAGCAGGACGATAAATTTAATTGTTTGATCTTATGTAAATAATTTTGAAAATATTTCAACGACTTGAGACTTCTCAAACTTAGTAGCAAACCCTTCATTAAATGTTTTGTGCTTAAACGTTGCGCGTGTGCATGTGTACTTGTAGTAATACGAATGCTACAATATAAGCCAAGTCATCTACTGAAGAAAATATAAAAATTTTAGTTGTTTAAATCTGATATAAGATTCAAAAATTTACTTGTTATATTTCAACAACGCGTAATTGTTTGCAAACAATTGAACTTTTTAAAATGGCTGATGTCCAAAATGATGATCCACCCCAGCAATTGCCGGCTTGTACAAGAATCATCAGAATGTTCAAAGGCCTTCGAAGAAATAAATGGAGTTTCATAATTTTGTTCTTAACCTTCAGTTTTACCCAGGAAGTTCAAGGGACTTACACAGCATCTATATTAACCACACTGGAAAAAAATTTCAACCTGCCAAGTTCACTATCCAGTATTATAGTAACTATATCTACTCTCGGTTATATAAGCAGCGCTATTTCGGTATCATTTTTTATTAAACCCAACCATTACATTCGATTATTTGCAATTTGCATGCTAGTAACTGGTTTTTGTAGTTTTTTATACGTATTGCCGCGTTTCATCTTCAAAGAAATTTCAAGCTACGATGAGAATAATAACTCAAACGATTGGCACCATAAAGCAGCAATTTGTAACGTATCGTATAATTTTAATAGAAGCGAAGGTCAGTGTACGAGTGACAACGAAAATAAAATGAAAGTTGGTCCAAATTATGCGGCTCTAGTGATGTTTATCATATCAGAAATAGTATATGGAGCTGCCGGAGCTTGCCTGTGGACTGTAGGGTTAACCTTCATTGACGAAAATATGTCCGGTCCTCTGGCTTCTAAATTAATTGGTTTATACTTTTAAATATTTATCTATAAGATTGGTGAATACAGATTATATTCTATATTTAGGTGTCGTGTTCTCAATGAAGTATTTTTCACCAGTTGTGTCATCTGCCCTTGGAAGTTATTTTTTGTCCTTGCACACAAGTATGAAAGGTAAGGCAATTTGAAATACATTATTCTTTATCCTGAAAGTATAAACAATTTACAATTTCAACCTGAGAAATAAAAACTTTCGATTTTTGACAGAAACTTCCCTAACTCCCAGTCATCCAAAATGGATAGGAGCCTGGTGGCTCGGATATATTATCTGTTTTATTATTAATATCGCTATATCCGTCCCGACATTTTTCTTGCCAAAAGAATTTGATGACGATGAAGTGCATGAGCCTCAGTTAGCAGACGATGGTGCAACAAACATGACCGAAAAATCAACAGATACAGCCAAAAAGTTATACCGCGATAAAAATATGAAAAGTCCTTCTGATTTACCGAATTTATATTTTTCATGTAAAAAAAAGTTTAATTATAGATTTATCATTTTCAGATTTCTTTGTGGCATTGCGTAGGTTGGCACGCAATCCGATTTTTGTTCTAACATCTCTAGGAGTTTGTTTCGATTGTTACATTCTTGCTTTTTATGCATACCTGCCAAAATATATTGAAGTTCACTTCCAATTGACTGCATGGATGGCAAGTCTTCTTGGAGGTTGAACTATATCATTGTTACAAAATTTATTTTGTTCATTATAGAAAAAACTTCATATTTTCAGTAATGATTCCCTCTATCGCCGGTGGAATAGTTTCCTACGTTGGAGGTGTTATAAGTGGGAAGTTAAAACCTACTTTAGATTCTGGAGTGACAAGGAATATGATTTTTGTATTAACAGCATCGTTAATAAATGTATTTGTGCTTATAGCTATCATGTTTCTTCAATGCCCTTCTAACAGCTTTCCACACGGCTTTTCGAAATCAACAAGGTTTGTTGCATAAATTATCAGCCAGTTTAATATAATTTAACCCGCTTTTGAATTATTTTTATGATAAATGTTGGTGTGGTTTGAGGCTCAAGCTAAGATAAGAAAACTTTAACCCTAGTCGAATCGGATCGTCGGTCAAAGACCAAGCTTGTTTGTCCAAGCTTACCAAGTCAAGCCAAACCATGTTGCAAATGAAGCTATGTAAATACCTAACCAAACTTATGAAATAAAACCAGTAGTGATTTTTATTCTCAAAATATTTTTTTTCAATGTTTAAAAAATGTTATTATTTATCAACATCAATCCGAAAATAAAATGGACAAAGGAAATTTCGCAACCAACGATAAAATAAATCTCGTTTTTGAAAATAAATTAATTAGTTGACTTTCGGCACCATCTGGCCGCGAATTCAACCCCAAGCTGAACTAAATTGACTCTATCGTTTCAGCTTGATTCTTCGACTTTTTTTAACTCAACAACACTAATTATGATATGAATTGCATTAATCAATTTTGGAAGTTGACCTGATAGTCGAATAGAATTAAAACATTTTTTATTCCGTGTGAACAAATACAGAATAAAAACTGTACCCTTCATATGGTATAGGTACAAATTTAAGGTTTTAAATAGCATTCATCAACCATGAATTTTGAAAAATTGTCAGCGTTGGTTTTCAACAAACATGCAATGAAAACTGTTCGTGTCCCTTGAATTCATTTGATCCCGTATGTGGCAGTGACAATGTCTGGTATATATCTCCTTGCCATGCTGGATGCACAAGCTACGCAAACAACGGATCATCAGTAAGCATGTTCTACCGTTGTTATTATGATCCAAGATTATGTGAATATGAAATATTAACTTTCTATCAAATTATTAATGATGAAACAATAGATATACCGTGACTGTTCGTGCGTAAGTAACGAACCACAAACAGCAAAGATCGGATACTGTGATAGCTCATGTACTCTCATTCTTTCCTTATATTCGATTGGTTTGGTTTGCTTTTTTGCAATTAATATCATATACAACGTTCCTGTGACCAATGTCGTTCTTAAGTTAGTATATCAATCAACTTATTTTTTCAGTAGAAAAATAATATTTTTTAATTTTACAAATATTTAAAAGGTGCGTAGACGAAGAAGACAAATCATTAGCGTTAGGATTGCAACTGATTTTAGTTTGTTTAGCAAGTAATATTTTATGACATTATTTGTTTTATTTACCCATATATAAATATATATTTACATGTATGTATTTGATAAAATTTGGCATAGGAATTTTACTCAAGTACCTGTACTTAACGTTCAATCAATCAATTTCAATTTAAAGCACAATTTTGGCAATGTTCAACAGTGCCCTTCATGGAATCTTGAGATCCGCTATGAACTTCGTGAGTGATGAAGAAGTAGTTGGAGGAGGAAAAGAGCTCCTGAGAAAAGGTCCAAAAAAACCAAAAGCAGATTTAGCATGTGTTTAATAGGAATTAAGAAAAGTAGACCGCGGCATTTAGGTTTAGTTAAAATATCTGATTAAGACTTGAACATTAATAAACAAATTGAAAAATATTCCATATTTTATAGTTAACCATTGCAAGAGAACAGGATATGATGTTATATGAGAAGATAGGGGAACGAGTATTTTAATTTTTAAGGTATAAAATGGCCAAAAATTATGTAAGAAAATCTACAAGATGCTCAACTTATGATGGTGAAAGTTTGAAAAAAGCATTGGATGCTCTAACCAATGGCCAGTTACTTAGTAAAGTTATCAGAGAATATGGAGTTCCTGCAAGAACTTTAAGAAGACATCAAAAAGCCATGACAACATCTCCGGAAACTATAAAGCTTAGTCGGTTGTCAAGCGATCTAAAGATTTGACTCCTTGTGGGACATGTTCACAAATTTTTTGTAATGATTTCACAGGATTTCAATGAATAAAATGCCAAACATGTAACATTTGGCATCATACTTCCTGTATAGGGCTGGAAGAAGACCATCGTAGAACTTTTATTTGTATCAATTGGGACAATAATTAACAACAAAAATAAAATTTTTATTTTCTTTTTATACAATTTTTATTTTATGTACAATAAAACTGTTAAAATTCTTTTACATTTTAGGATTTGAAACTATTTTTAAGGCTTATTTTGATAGTTTTTCTACACAGTCCTTTTGCCCCATGCATGGGACAAAAAGCCCATTTTATAGAGGTCTACGGTTTGTGTTATAAAACATAGGAAACCTATGTTTGAACAATTTAATTTGTAAAATTAGATAAAGGACATATCAATCTAGTAAAATAATCACTAATGTTGTAGAAATATTCCATTTTTTAGATGTAGTCACTCATCAAAGTCTCAACTACGGCTTCTTGCCCTAAGTTTTTCATTCAGATGAAAATAAAAACTTAGCAACACTATTAATCTAAGAAGAAACATGCAAGAATCAAAAACAAAAAACTACGAAACGTATGAAAAATATAAAAAATACAAAAAATTTGGAAATTAGCTTGGCCTGGAATCATTTGATTCCTTGTACAATAAATGAGAACCGATCCTTGTACAATAAATGAGAACCGAGTGACGTCAATGATGCCACTATTGACTTTTTACAAGTGAAGCTTATCTTGAATACAAAAAGATAGAGCAAGCAATTCTAGTCTAAAATTTCAAAATTCGCATTAGTTTTAACAAGATGCTGCGCAATGATAGGGAAAAGCACATTGAAATTGTATAATATATGGGTGATGACTATACTAAAATCAGTGCAGAAATGTTTTACATCAAAAATCTTTAATTTAATATTAATATAATCCTTTGTTTTTAGTGTTGCCATCTCCGTTAATATATGGGCAGCTGATAGATTGGGCATGCATTTTGTGGCAAACTTCTTCATGTAGTGACTCTGTGGGCTCCTGTTTGGTATATGATAATTCCAATTACAGATTAGCGATGCACGGAAACACTCTTTTTTGGCGCCTTCTGGCAGCCATCCTTTACGGCGCTAGTTATATTTTTTGTCGGAGAGAATATAACAAAAAGAAATTAAAAGAATTGGAAATTGTCGTGAATAAGGACGAATGCTTCATTAAATTCTGACTTAATACTGTTTTTGCAAATGTCAAAATGGCTATTAATTTTTCCTGCATCTTGTACTAACATTATTTTTTCATTTATGATTTGTAAGCTTGATTTTTTTCGTTGAAACTCAACTAGCTAGGTTAACGTTAAATACCTACATGTAAAATTATAATATTGTATGGCCTGTTTGATTATATGAATTGTTTTATATTTATATTCATTGATACTAACTCCCAACAGATTTAATTGCCCGTGAAATATATGTCAGTACTACTAATCTTAAATATATCTTATTAATTAAATATAATATAAGCTAGCATATATTCAACCCATGTTGATTTTTCTTTAACTATGAAAAACATTCTTTCAGAACGACCGTTAGAATCGCAGTTAAAAATCGACATTTTCAAACTTAATTTCATGACTATTAAATATTTAATAATAAACTTTAAAAACTTTTAAGATAATTATGCCAATAAAGAGCAAAGAACACAAAAGAAAGAGACATGAAAAATTTTATTTATAACCATCTTAGCGAATGTTAGGAGGACACATCATATGCTTCAAAGCATGTGATAGAGATAAACTTGCCCTTCAAATCAAAACAAGAATTGAAGCGCAAAGCATTAAGTTGTAACTGTTCAGCCGTGCTAAATATTTAGAATGTGTAAACAAATTTGTTTATCTGGCTAGGTAATTTCATTTCACTTTGGCCTTGTTTTTGGGCTCTATGCGTTGTTTAAGTTTGCATCTCTAAGCTTAAAAGGTTCACTGGTTGTTTCGCTGAAAGTCGGATTTCCTTCGTTTTTATTTCAGATGACAACCTAGGTTCCCATTGAAAAGATCCTAGAAATCATTTCCGTTTGACATCCTATTTCCTCCCTGATTTTATCAAAAATCTTTTGCGTATCTACAAGACTGTAGAAATTTGTTATATTATATTAAGTAACAAATTTTAGTATTGATAAGAAATATTAGTAACAGGTTTGCTAAAGAGAAAGAACCGAAAGACAGATTTTTTTACGACAGGTATGACAATAAATTTTTATAAGGAGTAAAAAATTTGGAAGTAGAAAAAGTTAGATTAACAAGTTCATGTATAAAAAATTGAAACACAAAAAACTCTTCAACTGAATTTGTACAAAGCGGACCAATGTCATTAGAAATACCGATGTCGTCAGTGTCAGGGGCATGATTAGAAAAGAGAAATATAGTTAAGTTTAAAAAAAAGACCAACCATTACATTTTTCAACTATAACATAATTTATTATTTCTTATTGAAATCATCAGATAATAATAAAGACAAAGCTGTTAAAAACTTTACACTTAAGTCTCAAATTAAAACCTAGAAACTTTTGGAAATAAAAATATTGATTGTCATAATAGACAATTCTAATTAATGAGCTGTAGTGCATCAATCGTACATAATTTTCATAAGAAAAAACTTGATGTTAATTGAACAAAAACTAAAAAAAAGTTTTAATTCTCAAAACTCAGGATTGTTTTTTCAAAGCAACTGTCTTTCAGGATAAGTGCAAATACACTGACATTTTTAGAAGGAAAATTTCACGTACATTATTAATAAACAATGACCTAGGAAACCTTATGAGAAGATAGTATTATAGCCTTACAAGAACACTATTCACAGTGTGAACATGCATAAACTGATTTGCAATCACTGCATAATACAGTTGACTCATCACATAAATTTATACTCATATAAACAAAAAACAAAAAATATAAAATATTAATTCATAATCAAAAATAATCAAAATGTTATACAATAAAAAGATGTAATACATTAGAAACATACAGGAAATCATGAGTTGAAATCAGTAATTTATGATATATATATATATATATATATATATAAGGAAAGAAAGAAAGCACATTTAGAACAAAATTTCTAAAACTTTACTGAACATCATAATAATGATTTCTCGATCATAATTTCTTCATAGCCATCAGGAGGTTCATGAACAAAACGACTAAAAATCATGTCAATTATTGCTCCATCATCGACTATATTCAAAGCAAAAAAATTATTGGACAATTTCATATCACAGAAAAAAAATTTTTGACCAACCATATACAAGTGGATAAACAGTTCCTTTAATACCACTAAAAGATAAGTTTGTCGGCTTACCATTCAGGAAAATTTTCAAATCTACGTGGTCATATGTGAAACCCTGTAGGGATATTTAACACATTTTAAACATCATTTATAAAAAAAAATGTAATTGATCTTGCATTATACATTGATAACATTCACTCACCAAGACATCACCCTCTTGAGGCAGCTGTTCACTCAACTTCCCCCTTTCTTCATTTTTGTGATAAATTTTTCCATCCTGTCGAAGCACCCAACTGTTTTGGTCTGCACCTTGTAAAGAACTTTGCAAATTGCAGTTTCTGTTTGCCAATCCTAGACCCCATACACCTAATTGTAATTATGGAAATTACTTTTTTTCTGTAATGGTCACAATGATAAAAAAAAGCAGTTATATAAAAAAGTTGTTTCTATTGAGTCATTTAATTTGAAAATCTTCTTGACCAAATCAAGGAGGTAACTTTTACACGTGCAATTTAATGTAGAACATGTAACAGATTAAGCAAATGAGGAATTTTTTGTCATAAGCTGTCAAAAGATAATTTTTTATTTACCCTCTTGCAATTTAGATCTTTTTAAATGACTTGAAGGAAGCAAGTCAGATAAAAAAAATTTGTATCAACTTGACAGCAAAACACAATGAAGAAACAAATTTTTAAATAAAATCCAGTAAAAACTTCTTCTTAAAATCAATAATTTTCATTATGAATTTGTAAAATAAGTGAATAGAGCAGCACCTGCTGATTGTAACTTGGCCTCAAAATATGCTTTGTTTTGTTGAATTGGGGTGTTAGCTAAGGCAGATCCAGAGCCACAAATCCTGGTGCTATTCTTAACTAAAACAACACCTTGTCCTGTTAAATAAAAAACTTATTTTAAATTTATTAAAATGTTGATGTCAACCAGTTTTTTGACACATCAGCAACTTAACTATTTTTTTGTTTACTTCCCACTAGAGGTTAAACAACTACAATATTAATATTATTTATTTCATATTTATATGTTATTACTATTATTTTAATTAAATTAGAGTATTAAATCATTATTTATTATTTTCTATGATTAGGTAAGGAAGAATCATCATATAAAGTATTTGAAATATCAATGTGTCGAAGAGTTTGTAATTATTTCTGAAGAATTTAAAAGATAGTTTATGAAGAGTTTAAAATATTGTTGAAGAGAAAATTGTTTCTGAAGAGTTTGAAAAATAGTTGAGACACTACAGTAGCTAATATAAAATTGCTAACATTATGATTATTTTATATATTCTTCAACTCTAACTGCTAAGTAACAAACATGAAGTTCTGTGTTTTATTATAATAATTTATATTACACTATATTATAATATTATATATATATATAATATATATATTATTTATATATATATTATATATATATATTATAATATAGTGTAATATAAATTATAAATTATTAAAATGATTTGAAAATGCTTCAAAAAATTTTCAAAATTTATTTCTTTCGAGAGTTTTAATTAATTATAATCAATAATTTAATTTTATAGATTATTTATTATTTAATTAATAATTAAGAAAATTAATTAAACATTATTAAACCAGTTCTATTAGTGTCCAACTGAACAGAAGGCAAATCTGTTAACCGAACTCTGCCAATTTTTGAATCTGAATCAGCGTACGGCCACCGCGAGCAACAGAAACAGCTCATTATTTTCGCTTTTCTCCGGCTCGATGTTCAGAGCTCACAAATTCTTGTAATATCGTCTTCAGGTAGACGTCGATTTAAGGTACAAAGACATTTTAAAAACTTCATTTATAAAATTATGTTTACTATGCATACACTTGGAATCAACATATTTATTCCGCACGTATATATAGAGTATATACATATGATATGTTCTACATACATGATTCGGCTGCTTAAAATCACAAGTTTATTTTATTATTTTAGTTTATTACAATTTTGTTCTATATATACGGTCACAAGTTTTATGACTTAAATTATATACAGAGCAAATGACATTTAAACAGCTTTTAAGCTTTAAAAGTCAAATATTAAATTATAAAGTCAAATTCATTGATTCATTGGTATAGAATACATTTATTAAATCAAATTTGACTAACAATTTTAGTATCATACTACATTTTTTGTTTTTCAAATATATAAATGTATATTTGCCGCATCATTAGCAGAGTTTTCATATCCCATCCCCGGACAACGTTGGTAATAATGGCAACAAGGAAAATGGTTCAACAAGTTGCAGAAATAGGTGCAGCAGCTACTAACCAAAAAAATAACTGCCAGGCAAAAAAAAAGATAATCTAACAACCAAATTACATCAGAAAGTAGTGAGATTGAAAGAGAAAGATAAGAAAATAGAAAAAGAGAGTGAAAAAGATAGTGAGAGAGAGAAAGAGAAGAAAGTTGAAGAGAAGAAGGAAACTTGGAAATAAAGACAGATAATCATAGATATCATTAGATATCATTAATGCAGATAATAAAAAATTCCAAAAACAAAAAAAATCCTTTCCATAAACAAATAATTACCCTGCTTCTATTGGTATTATTATGCATTACTCTAATGCATTACTTTAATATTAGGTATGTTGTCCGTTTATTGCAAGTATGGTGTCTTTTCTTTTGGCTTCTAAGTGCGTCAAACGGTTACAATTACAACTGGTTACACAAGCAACATCTTGTGGCTAAACAACTTAGTCCATAACATTTTTCTTCTCTAAATATAATTATAGAAACTGTTAATAACATAAGTTCCGTGCCAAAATGAGCAAATTTTCAAACAGTTGTGGGAAACAAATATATTACACATACATAATTTTAAAAAATATTTATTAATGTTAAGAGTTTAATTTATTTTTTGTTTGCGTTCGCCTGTTCTTCTTTCGGCAATTATGACATTTTATTGATAAACTCTTATACAAAATCACTCTTTTAATGCTTCTTGCAATGCTTTCGTGCAGTCGATCCATCACTTCCTTATTATGAAATTATTATAAAAAAGATCTCATTGAGTAATTATAAATTAATGAGGTCCGCTAACTAAAAGCTTTGTTGGCAAGTTTCCACTTATTGACCATGGTCAGCGTTTAGCGACATCAAACGGTATTTGACCAAGACGACGCCAGTGCAGAAAAATCTTTCAAAACATTTTTTTATTTTGAATGATGAAAATAATGATGTTTGTTGGTAATAATGACAATGTTTTTTGGTGACAACGACGTTGTTCCTCAAGTCTTTTGATGCTTGTTGGTGTTGACAATTGCTTAAAATACATCTTGCAAGCATTCCTCTAACCTTGTCTAAGGTACAATTTTTAAATTAATTAACAAAAACCGTCGAGACGAAGACTAACGGGCAATTAATGAAAAACACTGATATATCTATTCTATTAATAACAACTCGGGCAATGATACAAATTAAATTAATATCACATATCAAATCATAGTCAGAAACGGTCAAATAAACAATAATTAACAATGAAATACTCAATAAATCTTAGAAAGAGCATAATGCATTTTAAAAAGAATAGATAAATTCACAAAGTATAGGACTCATTTCCAAAACTCAAAATTTAAAAACATTTTTAAATACCCTACAATAACAATAGGTAACTAAACATATGAACATATCGCCATTGACGAAGTAAAAGCTGGGTGAAGTGGAAGAACATCAATAAGAACAGATTTTACGTGAGCAAATTTACAAGAGGAGATTCCAGCTTTGGTCGCAAAATTTGTGATCGAAATAATTTTTACTTTGCTTCAAATTTTATATTTTGAATGATTAAAAATAAATTTAAAAATGAAAAATAACGTACACGTACCTAACTAATAGCATTTAAACATTCAACTCCTTATAAAAATTCAACTAATAACTTTTTTAAAAATGGCTGTTAAACGTGGAAATGCTTTTCTCAAGTTTCTGTAGAATTTCTTCTGTCGTGTAGGAGCTGGGCTGGGGATCGTATTTTTGTTTGAGCAACAAGTTGTCGGCAGGAGACAGGCTTTAGTATCAAAAGGAGAAATTACATACCTCATGACTTGATCAATCAAGATTGTATGTAGATGAATTAATTTACAAGGCTGATAAATAATGAAAGTCTACTTGAGGCTTTGTTTAACATTTGATTTGCTATCTAAAGAAATATAACTAATGCCAAAAAAACTTGTTCAACGATATTTTGTATTATGCATTTTCGTGTATAATTAAAATTTTGAAAGATTCAAAAGGAAAATAACCTCTTTTCATTATTCATATTCAATCTACTTCTTAAAAGATTTTCAGAAATTTTCAAACTTTCAAGGCACGCCCTTAATTCATCAGATTTTGAAAATAAATCTGAGTCTTTCGGGGCAGCAAGATCGGACTGTTGAATCTGAAATGCTTTCTAATATAATTATAATTCATAGAATAAAATGGAAAATTAAAAAAACTGAATTAGTAGAATAAAATAGCAGAAAATAAAATGATCACGCAATAACTCGATATCACACTACAAAACAAATTATAAAAAAAAATATTCAATTAGATAAATAGTAGTTGTATAAATTGCAATTATCAAAACAATCTGCGCCCACTTTAGATGCAATAAAAATAGACTGAACGAACATCATTCAATGGATCTGAGTTGAACTTGGTGAAGTTTTGTTTCAACCAGTTGATGTTGTTAAGCCTCATTCTTTCGTTTTGTTGCCTCACGATGAACTGCTGCTCGAGAAAGTTGTTCACCTGGTTGAGTTTTTGCATGAACTCTGCCTGCGTTCTCCTCTCTATCTCCTTCTTCACCGATTCAACTTCCCTCTTTATTTCGTAATCCACGGCGTAATCCTACGACGTTTTGTCAATCAATCACAAAAACTTTGCGGAAAATAAAAAATGTTTAGATAAATTGAATTATTATACCAAATAACTTTTCAGTTGAAACTTTACATTTTTTCAACAATAACTAAACACCTTAGTTTTTCATAAACAATTTAACTGTTAAATTATGTTAAATTTTAACATATCAATAAATAAAAACGTGCTTAATTAATGCATATAATTAAACGTACGAAATCGTCTATAGATGAAAGTCGATCGTTAAGCCAGTCAATAAAAAATAATTACTTTGTGTAGTGGAGATGAGTTTTGTTTTAGATATTTTCTTGTACTGTTGACAAAATATTTCGGATTGTTTGCTTGAAACTGTAAAAAAACAACAATGAAAAAAAATTCATATACACAGTTACCTACATAGAATTTAATTTTTTGAGCTCTTGTAAAAACAAAGGATTGAATAACTTTTTTTTTCTTCGTCGTCTTCATGTGCTGCTTCATTTCATTCAGCTTTTGACTCAACACTTCTGATCTATCGATGCATCGTTTGGGGTTAGTGTGCGAATTATTATAAAAACCATCATTCACACACGGTTCAAATCGAATGTGTCCTTCTCAAACACATTTCAACTTTGTGTCAAATATAAAATCTTAGAAACAATTGAAAGAAATTCATGTAATAAATAAATTTTGAAGCAACTGAGTTGTAAAATGCCAAACTTTTCTCGTTCCATCTGAAGTTCAGTACCCACCAGCTCTTTCTTCTCCAACGACTTTTTCAACTTCAACTGCTCCTACGTCAATTAAATTGAATGTGTGTCTCATTGAAAACCAAACAAAAACAAATTAAGTTTTGAAAAATAACTTTTTGAAGGAAAATTAAAACAAACAACAAACGTTAATTTAAACCTGCGTTAATTTATTCAACAAATTTCTATTTTCCAAATCAAGGTGATAGAGCTGACGGATGTGAAAAATAAGTAAGCAAGTGATGTAAAAAATGATTATAAACAATTTTGAATGTATTTTAAACAGAAATTATTTTTAATTTATTCTAAAAATGTGAATAATATTAATAAACACGCATGGACTAAACGTTGCTATGAAAAAAATAACATAGATGGGCCCAAGCAGACAGCTAAGTCTTCAAAACTAACTCTCAACCCCAGTTTCGATTTGGACTTCACTTCGTTCTCCCACAGTTCCCTGTTACTCTCTGCCTCCATGTTTCTTTCTTTCTGAGAACTCGATAAGTCCTTCATGGTTTTTTTTAATTCAAATTTTAATTTTCCTATCAATGTTGTAGTTACATGAGTAACGCAACACAAGTTTAGTCTGTTATACACATTAATACAGACAATGACGTGAAAATATTTCTTTGTTTAAAATCACAAATAGGAACGCATAATTTCATAATAATTTTCAACTGCAGTGAGACATGGAGGGAGATGTATAAGAGGATCCTCCAACCCATTCGTAGGAATAAAGTTTAATTTCATGAACACCGCAACGTGACGAGCATATTTTGAGACTAACTTGTATCTTGTGCTGAAGTTTCATGATCATCTTCTTACCGTGGGTATAAACTTTTTGCAACTCGGTGAATTTCTACATTAATATATGTGAAAGCAACTGATCTGAATTGAAAACGTTCAAAGTGGTGATAAATGTGAACAAATTATAAAAATGAAATAACCGTAGTGAAAAGCGCATATCAAGCAGAAAAGTGCTGACGAAATTAACAAAACGTTGGACGCCACTTTTGAAAAATTCCTATAAATTACTTTTTTAAGATCATTCAATTCCTCCAAAAGTCTTTTGTTTGTCTGCTTTTCCATGGCCAGGTTGGCATCCAGCTTGACGTTCTCTAACTC